GCGAGTATGTGTATAAAATGTTCCTGCACGGAAATTGGATTGTTATTTTAAAACGTAGAGAGCGATACATAGCAACTAAATCGCAAGCCCTTGCCGTTATTATTTGGCCACAATAAATTTCCAGAAGTTTTATGTTGTTTTAGAATATAAAATGGATGTACACACACAATTTGCTCGAAATATGCATGAAATACAGATAAAAAACGTAAAAAGTAATTTTATAATTTTTTTGCGTTTATAATAAAAATATTGGTTAAAATTCGGATATATAATCTTCGTAAAAAAAAAGGAGACTCTTTTAATATCACGTAATTAGTTTCATAAATAAATAATATTTATGACGAGAATTTTTTTTACACAAAAAAATTCTCTCGGTATTATGAATTGAACGGCGGTAATCAGGTCGTGAACGAAAGATGATAATGACGATATCTTTACTGCATCTACGATAAGCCGATATTCAGAGAGGGATTACGACGATTACACAAATACCGTGAAAGTCTCCGGTCGTCTAAGCAGCACGGCAGCCGCGGCTCTTACCTGCGGACGTGATTGGCAGATCGCTAGTGGGAGGTTAACAAGGTATTGTTTCTGTAATCAAGCGAGATGCTTTACGAGCGACCCGCACGACTCACTTTTCTGTTTTAATTAAGATAAAGGTACGCGAATAACAGGCTGAATGCCAACGAATTCTGCATGACACGTAACATTGATCCCTGCTGCAATCGATAATTTTATATACATGCAAAATTGACAAATGTTTATTGGCCGCGTACGTTATCAAACAGCGAACAGCGCGTGTTGCATGAACAACTGTATACGATATGAATAATTTTAGATAAATTTTGTTTATAAATTAAATAGATTGAGTCATTGATTTTGTTCGACATGTTTGTGATACCGCTTCGTACTAGCGGAAATAATGTTAAAATATGAAAAATTAGATGCGAAACTAAGGGAAAAAAAAACGCAATGCACGTAATATAAAAATTATCGATGCCACCTTTCGTTTAATTAATGACGCAAGAATATATTCAGCTTTTACATCGACACATAAAATGCACCTGCCTTTCGGCTAACGTGTATATGTCACATGCATTTTGTTTCAGGCTGCAAGCTCTAAAGCTATAAGTACGCGGAATCGATCGATGTACGCCTCGCGTTCGTGAGAACAATGCAAAAAAAAAATTGCACGTTCGGAGGTATGACACTGGCCGATGGCAGGGTCGCAGCACGAATAACGATAGTACGTGCGATATTGCGGAGAAATTGTACGATAATTATACGAGTGCGCCTGTGAATAATTAAGCGTATGGTAGCACTTACGATGCGTTTGCGCTCGCCTTGAATAACGTTAGTACACACAGCATATTTCATGAGATTTCGCGAAACGGCAAACGTGAACACACGTACGTACGTACGGCAATGTTATCTGCATGCAGCCGTTAGTATTGTGAGATATTACGGAGAAAAATCTAAAATATATAGCATTGTGATATATACTATTTCCACATTGCATTAGATGTACTTCTTGTTTGCTTCTATGTCGCGTTGACGCGCTGTATCTGAAATCTTCGCCAAAAATATTATACGCGTATTCGCGAAATTGTGTTGTATTATGTAATTATTCACTTTTGCTTTTACGAGATTACATCCTAATTGCGCTTTTAACGAAAGTTAGTGAACTGGTATAAAATCACTTTTACTGTTACGGCAATAATCGATGAGTGAGCCGGGGCAGTAGGCCTTTCTAGAGACGTATAACAATCATAAGTAGATTAAAGCTGACAGGCATACCGCAACGACAGGGTGTGTCGCTGTGAAAAACTCCCATTGAGGAAATAAGTAGGCCGACAAACCATGCATGCATTGAGAAAGTTTGCAGACATTTCGTTTCCTGTCTCTTTCATTGCGCGGTGCGCGGTCGATTATTGTAGCAGATCGCTGCAATTTACAATTGGGCGGTCATTCTTCCAAATTGTAAATTGCTCTTATATGTAATTAGACTAATTTCACGTAAATATATATATTCCACATTTTATATATATATATATATATATATATACATAAAATGTGGAAATTACAGAGAAATGTTATTCTATCTTTATATAAAGTCTTTAAAAGTCATAAACTATAATTAATTTTCATATAAAGGATTAAATTCTAATGATTATAATTTTATCTAATTAATATTTCCTATCATAATAAGAACGCATAATATCTTTGTGCTTTTTGTAAACTAAAAGATTATAAAAAAAGTTAATAATATGACAGAATAAAAATCTAAGAGGTAAAAGTTCCGGATTCATTTATTTCTCTGCACAAAACACAGAGATGCATCTTTTTATGTAACAAAATCTTCGTCCAATTGAAAAAAGCAACGACAACAGATCTACGTAAACTCCACCGAAAAATAGAAGTAATCGAAATGATACCTCCTATTTATCAATGTGAGAGCGCGACATCTGCAAATTAGCGCGACTCGTCTCTCGGATATCACGACTCATCTCCAGCCGCGCGTTGGAACCGGACCGACGCGCGCGAAGTAAAAAGATTGATGACGTGTCCCCGATCCGTGTATACCTTCGCGAAACGGGCGATGCAAAATCTTTCATGACTCGCTAATGTTTTGTAACAGTTCTTGTTCTGGCACAAACGTTGATAGATCGTTTCATTGACCAGCGACGAGATGAAGCTCGTCCGTCGTTCGCGAGAAGAACGATCGGCGCGCGATCGGGACGCGATAGAAACGAATGAAAAAAGAGAACGGGGAAGAAAAAGCGAGAAAGAGATAGAGAGCGGGGAATGAGAGGAGAAAATCGTGGCAAGGTTGGCGGAGCGATGGATAGTAGGGTATCTGCCTATTATTCACGCGCGAGATAGGTCGAGGGGGTGGGGAGGAGGAGGGTGGGAAGGGGGGGTTGATCTAGCTCGATCTATGAGAGCCTGGGGGTGAGGCCAGACTTAGAAAGGTGGGTTAGGGGTTCGTGGCGAATTCTTATAAATCAAAACAGACACGCTATCCCGTCTCATAGGGTGTTTCCACCCTTTCGTACGCCGGCATCTTATGCCTTCTTACTTCCTTACCTGGCCGACTGCTGGAAGTATAAGGGGAAAGGAAAGAAAATAAAATATGACAAGGGACGCGAAAGCAGGTGTCGGGAGAAACGGCAGGGGGAGAGAGAAAGCGCGGCCCGACGTATCGGATGTTGATGTATTATTGAGTTTGTCGCGTATTATTGGTCGCTACCCGGTATCGTTGACAAGGGTGGATGTCAAGAGGAAAAAAATTGTTAGCGCGAGATATCTATGTTCAAACAATGAACAAGGGACACGTTTTTATACGTTAGCCGCATGGATATTGATGATAGATGTACGCGCGACAGGTGAATTATTAAGTTACCTCATCTGAAATAAAAATGTAATTTTTATCATTACGCCATCTCTTACATTTAAAAGGCCGAATCGATTATTGCATTATTGAAATTGTGTGTTTGTTTCTTCTATTTGTATAGTATCATCTTATCAAAGATATTCAATGACAGAATAATGCTTAAAAACAATATAGAAGAGAAATTCAATTTTGCGATAGTCTAAAAACTCCCCTGCTCAGTATTAAAGAATATTCTTCCTTAAACATACTTCTATTACCCGCCGGATCGGCAGCTGTTATAAGAAGTCTTTCTCGGGTTACTAACCATCAGTATTAGTTTATATCGCCATATTATACGTATAGCGATATTCGCCATTGAAAACAGTTTACTACGCATTGCCGCAGCATACGGTTATGAGAATAATGTACACCGCACTCGCATGCACGCTGTTACGCCGCTATTTCTCTGAATAAGACATCAGCTTTGGACGTATTTGGGTAGTGAATATTTAATGTTATCGATATTGCCTTAAAAGTCGTTTGTGCGGAAACGGGCGTGGAACTGTTTAGTATACCGTACAGGCGCCTCGCCTACTACGTGAAATTGATTCGAATTTTTCGAGAGAAACGCCGTATTTAGATTTTATCTGCCCCGGGGTTAAAAATGCAAGTACAATCTCGTGCTGAACTGCGCACGGGAATGCGACGGCATCGTGTTATGAGCACAGGCATTCTCACGTTACATTAATGTAATTAAGAATATTGTAATCCTGGATGTAACTCGGTCCGCATAATATAATTATGTGTCTCTGCTTATGTGCGACGCAAATGTAATAAATGTACGCGAATATGTTTGTGCGGCCAAAATATATAACTGTCATATATTTCGGTTAGAATAGTCGCCTGTGTAGGAGTGCTAATACATATGTAGCAGTTAGCACAAAGCAATAGGCAATTTTTGCCCGGTGAATCGTCCTGATAATGTTAACAAGATCATTACCGCTAAAAGTTTTTTATTTTTACACGTTTGTTCATCTAATATCCACCTCCTTTTTCTTTTTAAATGTGTTGGTTCTAATCGGCTCGAAGCATGCAACCGGAAAGATCCTGCCATTAACTATCCGAACGAGCTCTAATATATTAGTAACGATGAGCTACGATTTGGCTATTTTTGTATCCAGCACCTAATATCTCACAGCTGACATAGGAACATGTCTTCTTATAGCACCCTAATCTACATATGATTTATTTAAAAATCAATTTCTACATTTATTTATAGAATATCTACATTTATTTGTGGAACCTGTATGACCTAATATACGGTTTTTTTTTTCAATTATGTTTGAATTAAAATAAATCTTTTTTCGTAGCAATCGGGACAAAGTACTGCACCATCACGATTGTGGAAATTCGCGAAACAATTCATGAAAAATACTCCCGTTGCATTACTACACTTTACCAAATCCATCTCCTAATCCATCTCTAAAGAGATCCATCTCGGAAGAAAAATTTAATTGCTGAAAACGCGAGAAAAATCGAGGGAATCGAACATCTGCAATCGCCATCGCGTTACCGAAGCGCCCAGTCACACAAACGGAGAAATATAGAAAAGACGAAGAAAACTTACGGGGGTTCTGGACGTGCACAGGAGACGGAGGGTTGGTTCGCGTGACGACCGGAGGAGGCATCTTGGCGTGCAAGGCGGCGAGGCATGAGTTTGCCACGTCGTAGATGAGATAAGCACCGTAGTATCGGCCCGCACTGCCCATTTTCAATTTATTCTTACCGGGCGCAACCGCCATTTTCGCGTATCACGGCCGCAGATACAGCCGCATCTACCTGGCGCGCCGATTACCAGTTCTCTCACTCAACGACGATCGGCTGCAATTATCCGGCTGGACCTCCGACGGGATTACGGAACATTGCACTGGATCATTGCGATCCTTAATTTTGAATTCGTCCCCACAATAAATTCCTGCTGCGGCTGCGAGCGTTGACGCGATGCACACCTCATTTGTTATCATCCCGCAACATGAATTTCACATTCTCGTTAAGGATAATGCGTAGTATCTTGCTGTAAAGCTCGGGGAAGATATAACTTCCGAGCGTTGAATATAAATTGTAAACGACCCTAGCCTTTTTTCATAAATATATATTGGAAATTAAAAAAGGATAGAACAAAAAATATGGGAATTCAATGAGCTTAGGTATACTGCGACGACGTAACATTAATTATTATGTTAATGTTAAATTCACCATCAACGCCCATTCTTCTCGATTCCTTCGAACTCAAACACGCTCGAAATTAGCCGACAAGTTGCAATTTTCTTCTCGCACATAAAGTTGCTATATCGAAACACTGATTAGCACATCATTCAAGACAATAAACGAAGGTCGTTAATCCTGCATGTCAACTCGGACGGTAGGTTAAATAACCGACATTACTCGCGGATCACATGCACGGCAATTCGATTCTCCGCAACCACGGCGAATACCACTTGGAACTAATTATCCGGGAGCGCGCAAGTATTCCGTCCTTGCATTCTCGTGACGAAGCGTTAGCACTGATCTCGATACCGCTCCTCGAACGTGGAGCGTCGATATACCACGACGGCCGGCGGTCGGGATCGGTGGGCTGGGCAGCCGAACGGAAACGGTGCGGTTCCGTGGACCGGAAGCCTGAACCGGAAGCGTCACGAGTCAACGGGCGCTTCTCTGATTGCACGCTGCGGTCGCGGCTAGATAAAAATGTGCTCGTGTGCCGTTTACGTAGTTGGAACTCGATTGCACTCCGAATAGTAGAAGCCTCGCGATCTCGTAATCCTACGCGAAGCTTCGCAGGGACAAAATTGAATTTCTATGTGGCGCCAAAGAACGGTCGTGTTTAATAAACTTTAGATACCTGGTGTTTTTGACTGAGATTTTTAATGACAATCGCAATTGCCGTATTGTCGCGCACTGACTTTCTGATATTGGAGCAATAGAAATAACTACTTCACCAGAGCGATATGTATTATCATGCCGTCGTGCTTCCCGGAAACTTAATACGTGTTCCACGTAACAATAGACGAAAATGGGTCGTTTTAGTCGGTCAATTTCGCGGCTAGTTTACCGTTGAATAAACTGACTTATCAAATATTTATAAAGATGTCGTGTATATATTAAAAAGTAATATTCGATACTACTTGTAAATGGTTCGGATATACTAACATCACACGAAATATGTTTTGTGATATTATTATAAATAAAGTAGTTTCCAAATGTGATTATGTAAGATTAGATTTTTCATATAATTGAGTCTTTTTAAAGTTATTCATGGAAACGCAGAAGTGTGATATTATCATGCTATTTTGTAAAATTATTATTTCGCTATTTCATTAAAAATACATTTGTCTAAATTCATTTAACACGAATTTTTAATACGATGTGCAATTTAAAATAACAAAAGTTATGTTCTCACCCCAAAAAGAATAACAATAATAATATATGTATTAATAATAATAAGTGTATAATGTTGGAAAGCTGGCTAAGAGTATCTAAAGTGTTTACATCGTTACGATGAAATTTCATATTAACGTCTTTATAAATTTAAGCTCATTTTAATCTTGTTGCCGAGAGTTACAGGAGCTAGAATTAAGATGCACGTTTCGTGCAAAGTTATGAATCGTCTGTATTGATTTTCGAGGCGTTACGTATTGTTGAAATTTTAAGTAGCTTGGCGATGAGCCAAACGCTACCGTTTATAAATCCGCCTATTTGTTAACGCCGCTTTGCATTTGTTAATGTTATTTATTCGCATTGCCTATATATTTCTCTCATTCGCTTAAATCGCTTCGAAAATTCTCGAAAAATTAATTGTTATCACACGTGGAACATGTTAAAGGTGCAGACTACAAGTTACATGGATATATATTTTGAGATTTATCATCGTATATTCACACTGATGAACGCGGTATGGTCACGCCGTATTAAAACGATTTACGGTTCTTAAAAGAGATCCAGTTTTTCATTACGGTGCACAATTAAATTCATAAATTGCATTGCAATATTGTTGCGAAAGTAGCACAATTTTAACGAGTTTCAAGGGTTACAAATGCGTATTCAAAAATTCAAAAAAGCTCGAAGAGTCTATTGAAGCAAAATGTAATAACACGTCCTGCACGATTTCGGAACAATAATCGCCGTTATCTGAAATTACGATATTTTCCAGCGGGCGATATTTTATTTCACTAGTTCTTTGACAACAAAGCGTTTTTGTTTTTACTTTGACATGCGTTATATTCAAAGTAAAACAGGCAATATTAATTCGATCCGAATAGTAGATGCGCTTTGTGGCGGCAGCACGACTCTGTTGCAGACCAGGCAGACGCAACATCGGATTGCCGTATAAAAAATGTAATTGCAGCCCCAAAATAATCCACGAGTTTCGCGGCCGTTTGTTCCGCGGTGTTTTTATATCTGCCGGCGCGGTCGGTCTCGTCTGTCCCGTCTTCAATAATTAATACGTTCATATCCGGTTATGCGGATGCGTTCTATGCGCATTCCCTATGCATTCTCCCACCGCGCCGCACTCTATCCAAATGGTCATCATCGTCCGTATCCACACGCACCGTATGCTGATCATTACCAACTGAAACCTGCGCTTCTGCAAACAATATGCACCGTCGTCGTACGGTCATGCTTGAGCTATTGCGTCGCGCAATTATCGGAATCGATTATCTATCGGACGGAACTCCGCGATGGTTCACGGTCGAAACGTGCGAAAGTCGAACGACACACTCACTCACACACACACACACACACACACGCGCACATACACGCGACTCGTATCGCGGACGTCTACTCGATTTCTCGTCGAGACTTCGCGATTAACGAGATTTTGCCAATTCGTTCGCATTACGGTAACGGTCGAAGGTGCACTGCGTAAGCGTCCGTGGACGGACGTCGTCGAGTCCCACACGCTCGCGCTTATCGCTCTTACATTATGTGCATAAGGCCGTATGCAAACACGGAGACATTGGCAAAGCAATTACAAAAAACCAATTCCAACCGCGTATATACGTTTTTCAGCCTTTTTCCGATTTTCTTTTTATCGAGTGCAATAAATGAGAGAACGACCATGTGAAAGTCAAAGTACACCATGAAAATACAAAGAGCTTTATCAGTGCGTCATTTAAAAAAATGCGGAGATATCAAATGGAAGTAAAGAAGTAATAGATCATCGCAGTGTGCTTAAATTTTATTGTAAACTTTGTCTTAATGTAGGTCAACTTTTATTCCATTCTTTTACGTGTTATTGTTGAATACTTGCTAGTGTACTCGCGAAGTTTTCTAATAAAAACTTTTCTATTTATATTATTACGAGTAATGATTTTTTTCTTCACCTAGTGCATATAAAATTTACGATTCTAAGATTGTTTGTAGTAAATAAAAAAATAATGGTACGTTATAGATTAGACAGGATTAGGGAAAAACGATTTTCATTTTTATTTTTATTCTCTTCTTTTATTTATTCTTTTTATTCTTTCTTTTATAGCTCTTCATAAAACGAACTTAATGTCTTATTATATTATTAATTTCTACGAATATTTAATTAATATTTAAATTGACATTCCATTAATATTTTGGTTTGTCTAATGCATATTTTGAATTTATAATAATAATAGTACAGTTGTTTTATAATTTTATTTTAACGTTCTTCAATTATTAAATGAATTTATTTAAATATAATATTCCGATAAGAATAACGGGTATTTTTTTTGCGAGTTTCAACCATGAAATATATTCACATTCTGTCGCGTTCACGAACGCACTCTCGCGAGATTCAGTTTTATTCCATATTTCCTATATATTTTTCCTTATCTCGTTTTTACATTTTATCATATCTCGACTCACACGCACGTCCGCTTTCGTCGGGCTTGTCGCTTCGTTTTCGTGCGCGGCCACTTCAGTATGCGCGCCGGTCTAAGTGCGGCTCTTCGTACGTGCGTCACACACTCGTCGGTCGGTGCGGTGGTAAATGGGCGTCGGGCGTATCGGATCGTATCGCACACGGAGAAACGACGCGGCTCGGTTACAACGCGAACGCACCGGCGACAATAGCAGCGACGGGACGCGCGACAGGAAGGTGGCCGTATCAAATGCTTAACGGCCAACACAACGGTCGCGTACACACACCGATACCACGGTCGCAAGCATGATTGTCGGCGCATCGAGGCGCGGGCACACATTGTTACTTCCGTCGCGAAACGTTTGACCACAAACGCTAATTTCACTGGCACTTCGCGAATCGGATCTTGAACTGTCTGCGACGCGCGATTATGCTCCGGCGATGCGCGCAAAACGAGCGCCAAGCCTTTTTTTTACAGACGTAGATTTACGCTTCATATCGGTTGCGTATAACGAAAAGATCGATGATATTTTTTATTTTTTTGAAGTAGGAACGTGAAATTTCCTGCATTTTTATAATTTTATAAGCAATACTCATAAAATTATAAAAGTTAAAAATATATTTGTATACACACGAGAATATGCGAGAGTAAAATTCTACGAAAAAGATATGTAAGAAGTGCATATCACGCAGGAAAGCTTTCAAAAATATTATTTTAATCAACTCTCTTCTCTCTCTCTCTCTCTCTCTCTCTCTCTCTCGACAAACTTTGTAACACGCTATGTCCTTGCTTGCGGATACGATGTTTTGCTGTCGCAGAAGCTATGATCATAAATGCATACTGATTAATATATATGATCTGCAATGTCCAAACATTTCATATAGTCATCAGCGGATTAAATGAAAACGGAAATGACGTCAACATTGTTCCGAAATTAGATGCACACAATGCCTGGTATAAATACACGTGCGCACGTGAGCCGGGGACATTGTTATTCCCCGGTGCAACGCTCGACCACGTTACAACGCTAATTTCAAAGCGTGCTGTTAGCGAGTTGATGTAATTTATGATCGCAAAATATAGACGTGATCGGGACATTCGTGCGTGGCGTTCACAAAAGACACTTAAACGATGTAATCGAATAAAGGTGAAATTACTGTTTTTCAACATGTTTCGGCAAAAATATGAAATCACATATAGCTAGTTCGGCAGTATAAGGGAATCACAAAAACACGGCGCTCCGTATTTTGGGGAGAACGGAGTTATCATCCCCGCTGTCCTGTACCACTTTAACGATTTAATCTATGTGTGGTACGTTTACACCGTACTCACACTAAGCTGATCATAAAACAATCTTTAATATCCATTATCTAAAATCGATATCAGCACGGTATCTCGAAACTTTCGAGGGCCACTTCGCGTTACGATGCATTTAATTGCCAAATGATCGTTAGAAAGACTATGAGACCACGAATTAATGTCATAGGTGCATTTATCGGCTTGATGAGGGCAGACGGTGAATATAGGCTAATGGTTAAAGTTGATTATATTACCAGTCACAACCGTCATTTACGTGGTTAACAAGATCATCTTTTTACGTAATATGAAGATAAGATGAAAGATTGCTTCCTAGCGCGATTCGCAATTTAGTTAATATATTTGAAGAGCAACATGTCGTTATTATAATATTGATTTTATTATACACCTTTATGAGAAAATATTTACCGCTTATAAAATTTTTACAACTACAACTTTCTTATTATATTTATATAGAAATATAACTTTACCATCCAGGAACTACTGACTTTAATGCAAGAAATATTTCACGATAGGAACTTTAAAGGATTTCAATAACGAGTAAAAACTACGTAATTCCGTGCTTCTCACCCAGCGTTCAAAAATATTTCTTCGGCTGCGTATATATTTTTTTATCTCCCTTTTTACCACCAGTTGCACTCGAGGCTGCGCTTCCCTCATATCGGATTGCATAAACGTCTTTCGAAGTCGTTACAAGGCCGCTCGCATAGCTCCGCGGATGTATTGTTCTCGAATTCTTAGGTACGAATACACTTACCGTTCGTATGTTACAATTCTCACGAGCGGTGGTGTCTCGCCTGTATTCCCCCCCCCCCCTTCCCAGAAACTTCATCCCCAGACTTTCGCACGTATACGTATCCACTACTCACCACTTACGCGAATACACTCAACAGGTTACTGCGCCCACAGAACTTACTGTTACGGTGTATTCAACGCGATTTCGTTTTGTTTCTGTAATATACTTCGCGTTTTCTAAAAGTGAACGAGACGATTGGAAAAGTAAAAGTAAATGGAAAAAGTTGGCGCCAACGAAATTGGAGAACGACAGGAGTTTTCTTCCCCATTCCAAGCTAAACAATCCAAAGTCGTTCAAATTAAATAAGAAATCTTTACATTGAGCAATAATTTATCGGCAATTCGAATTACGACATAATTCTGGTAAGAATTTCTGTTTGTAGAATTATAAGAATTCCAAAAATAAATAATATTATAAAAATGTATCGTAAACAGAAACGAAACTACGCTCAATTGTCATTATCTTAAACACAATTTAATTACATAAATTATGTTCTTGTAAAATCTTTCCTTATCTTCTCCTGTGAAATTTACTTCTTTTAATTCGATATCGGCGTTTTATTTGACAAAAACATATAAAATTGTACTATCACCATTGACTGACATTGCGGATAATACGCAATTTAAATTACAAATGCAAAATTCCGATCGATGATGATGACAACGAGTAGAGAAAGATGTCGAAAATGGAGTCAGTGGAGATGGTAATTGAGCATTGGTTACAGATTGCGAAGAGCCACGAGAACGGAACGGTCGGGCGAAGGGAAACTGGGTACAGGATCGAAGATAGAGCGGGGCAAAGATAGAAGGAGAGCGAGTTTCGCATTAGGAGTAATAGGCATTATCTCCATCGATCCCGACTCACTACCCCGCTTCTACCACCTCGCCCATCACCCACCGTCTCCCTAGAGCTGGGTGGGTGATTGGTTCGTTCGAACTAACCGGAGAAAAAACGCATGGGAATTCCGCCGGCCATGGGCACGGCGAACGGCATCCTGATCGCGAAATGCGGGTAGCCGGACTTGGGAAGAATCGAAAAAGACGTACGTGGCGTATATTATTAGTAAGACACCATCTGCGCTCCTCTTTTGAATGTAACATCTAGATAGAAAACAATTTATCCTTGCGCTCTTTAACAGTCCAAACAAAAAGGTGATTGCAATAGTTATCATTACAAGATAATCTTTTTTCTCATTATGGAAAATGTCAAGTTTTGTGAATAAAAAAATTCTACGAATAAAAAATATCTACACACTATATTTAATAATATCAACATTTTCTTAAATCCAGTAACTCAGACATTCAATAATATTAGCATAATATACTTGTAATAAGTATCAAAATAATTATATCATTCATAAATAAAATCGAAATTTCATCGGTTCCGCGAATTGCAGATATGTAATATACGTCCAACTCCTCCGAATTGGTCAAAGCGCCGAATTCGAATTCCTCCGATTTTACGGTTCAACTCGACAAGTTCCCTAGTTCCTGCAATTCCATTCTACCAACAGCTATAACTAATCAGTATAAATTAGGGCGTGTCGTTACGTGGAACTTCAAAATCAACGGTATATACGGAGGAGCGTGATATCGCGTCGTAGTTTTTACGATAGTTTTACCACTTTTCCATCACGGCTGCGGTGCGTCAGGTGGAAGAAGGATGACGGTGACTAATTGTCGTAAAGGCGATCATGATATGTCCTGCCTCGTAAATCTGATTGGCTACGCTTACTGACCCCGCTCGCAATCTTGCCAGCGAGATCGCTCGACGCTACACGTACGTCGTTCGACACCGAATTCGGGTCGGAATTTCAGATTCTCCGAAATCGCTTGCAGTCTTTTTCAAAGATCTAGAGATATAACATTCCTTGACGAGGTGCCGTCGAAGAAGGGACGGAAGACGATTTTAGATGCGATCGCGAACGTTCCCAAGTGGAAACTGCAGATCGTGCAAGCTACACAGTTTAAAATGGAG